GGGGGGGGGGGGGGGGGGGGGGGGGGGGGGGGGGAAGGGCGGGGATGGAGATTCAGGCGCTCCGCCGCGTAGAGAGACAGGCGAACCTGCGACAAAAGCCAATCCTAGCGAACACCCGGAAAAGCGATGGTAGTACATATAGTGGAGAGAAGACCGGCACGTGGTCGCAAAAAGTCGATGGATGGAACTCCTTAGATGATTCCTGCCCGGGGCAAAGTCCCACTAGCAGGGTTTAGTTTCCTCAACGCCTGAATCTGGATGTGTTTGCGGTGATATGCGGTTGAGGAATCTCAATCTCATTTCTGCACATCTCCTCGAAAACGCCCAGATTCAGGCGTTGAGGAAAGTCGACGCCGCTGATGGGACTTTTTTTCTTTTTTTTTTTTACCCGAAATTTCAGGGATTCCAGCCTGCCTTTGATAAATCTGACCGGCGGCCGTCGTTTCGTTTCGGCCTCCTGAAAGGTCGGAGGCCGAGTATTTTCGAACCGTCAAAGGTACTGGTGGTTTATAGAGGGCGATGGCCTTGAGGTATTATCATCGGACTAGCCAGCCCAGGTAAATTCAATATTGTGTCTAATCTGACATCGGGTGGCCTTTTCAGCCCAGGGTGGCCTTGATTGCCTTCAGGGAACTCCCAATGGGGGGACACCGGCCAGGGGACAGCCGGTAGCAGAGGGACCGAGCATCATCTGAGTGGCCAGTCGCTGTGCCTCCCCGATTACCCCTCCCCCTATGAATATCAGCAGAGACTGCTTTTTAATGCCACTTGGGGGCACGAATGGGCTATCTCTAGGTGGCGGGCCCCAAGCATGCCCACGAAGGTACACGAGGCCGTTGGGGATTGAACCCAAGACCTCCTGAATGCCACTTTTTTTTTTTTTTTAAAGTTATAGAGGAGTTTGGAGTCCTGCTATTGGCCCAACAAAACTGGAGGGAGAGTTTGTCCTTTGAAATAGCCCCCTTTTTTTTCGTTTCCGTTTTTGTTTTTTTTTTGGTAAAAAATATGTCTGTATTGCTTCAAATGAACTGAGGCCGCAGAGGGACCGAGCATCATCTTTTTTTTTTTTTTTTTTTTTTTTTTTTGGTTTAAGAGCCCTTGTGTGNTTTGGTTTAAGAGCCCTTGTGTGAGCCCTCCATTCCGATGGTGGTAAGAGAACCATCAGAATCGAGGGATCATTT